CAGAAACTTCCATGAGTAAAATTACAAGTAATAAGCATAGAAGGCTTACCGTTTCGTTACCGAACGCACCAAATCTTTGTTTCCTGTTTCCGTCGTTTTTATCTACTTACTGCCCGTTGTGCTCGTCGACCATTTTTTTTTATAAAACAGCCTCCACATTTATCTACATCCAGTCTTGCAACCATCTAACTGAAGAAGAAACCCATGCGACTTACATTTACTTGACTGTTATTGCAACCTTCTGTTTGCCACGTGCAAGCTTAAGAATATAAGCATTTCATATCCCTTTTCTTTCTTGTATTGATACAAATGGTCCTTCTTATGTAATTACTGTTTTTTTTTATTTTTTCTTTGGGTTGTTACATTACCTTACCGGATGAATATGGTAAGAATCAAGAATCTTACCCGGTAAGAGCGAGACAAGGACCAAGAGTCTTACTCGGTAAGTGAAGACGATTACTCTTACCACGGTAAGCGCTTACCGGGTAAATTATTGCATACGATACCATTTCGGTGAACTAAAATCTTATCCGGTAAGTAAATGATAGTGTTAAATTTACCGGCAAGCTTTTACCAGGTAAGTGATTGGTAAACAGCCCCTGAGTCATTTCGTAAATTTTCTCTTTTTGTCAAATGTTTCTCTTTCCGACATATTTCATACATATTTTACCCTCAATCATAAACGAGTTCGTATAAAAAATAACTACGACAAAAAAATATTATAATAGTTAAAAATTACTTATCATAATTAAAATTACAATAATAGAAATCATAATCTATACTATATTATAAAACATTTGACAAAAAAATTCTTAAAACCATTTTTTATACATGAAGTACTGAATCTTAATGCATATTACTTAAAAGTCAAGATTACAAGTAAATTATACATAAGTACAACTTATTAAAGCTCGATGTTTGAATTTGTATAACTAACTGCTGATAAACATAATCAAATAGAGGATAAACATCTCATTTTAAAATATAAAAAATCTAAAATATAATTAAGATAATTATCGAGTTCTAACAAAATAATTAATTATTATCTTCATAAGAAAATTATATTATTAAACCAACAATAATAAAAAATGCATTACAGAAATACACAAAAAAACAAAAAAAAAATTAAATAGTTAGTTTGGTACTTTTTTAAATGTTTTATATTATCTTCATATTTATATTTTGTTCAAAAATAAAAACATCATCACCTTTTCAAAATCACATAAAACTGTATTACAACATCGATTGCGACAAAAAAAAAAAAACAATAAATCAAGATGTATATTGTTATATTGTGCGAGTACCATTCTAGTAATTAAAAATTATGAAAATAAAGTTATAATAAGAAGAATATACTATTATATCTTTTTATTAAAACATAATAATTATTAATTACAATTAAATGTTTCGTTAGAAATTTGGTTTGTTGGTCCTTTGTGCGCAGAATCATATGGGAATAGCCATGAACATTAAGACTCCCATCGTGAAATTGCGTCTGACCATTGACCAATATCTTCAGGTTGTAGTTGAATTATTCCTTCACCAATGACTGACCCCAGAAAATCAATTTTTTGTACTGCGATCTTCATTTTTGTTGGTGATAGTACCAATCCATTTTCCTCACAAATCCGGAGCATTTGTGTCAAATGCTTCTCGTGTTCTTGTTCATTTTTTGAGAACACTAGTATGTCATCAATGTAGACGGCTATAAAGGACTATGTTCCTTTGAAGCACTTGTCCATCTTTCTCTGAAATACTGCAGGTGCATTCTTCAGTCCGAATGGCATTACCAGCCATTCGTATATCCCTCCTGGTGCTAGATCCCTTTGAGCCATATCCTGCTCCTCTGTATATCCTCGGTATGGATCTTCTAACATTATTGTTTGCCGAACTTGTGATGTAATATTCTGTGGATCATCAGAAATGTTTTCTAGGGCTGTGTACATCTCTGGGTACGTGTTCCTCCATTGTTGGCACATTAATTTCTCATACTTTCCCAACAAGTTTTCAACAAATAACAACTTAGCTTTATTATCAGGCTATGTTTGATTGTTGAGGGTATTGATGGTAATGGACTCCCATCGTGAAATTGCGTTTGACCATTGACCAATATCTTCAGGTAATACGAGCATGGCTCCAGTCCTCGTCCATGCTGGTGGTAGGGACCACTGTTGATCATGGTGTTGGCTATATCCTCCCCTGAAGTGTGTATTTTCGTATGGTCTGAACTGAAAATCTTTTGGTCTTCCTCCAAAGGTTTCTTGTGATTGTGGGTATACGGGGGGACCCATCATGGAATCTTTTGGTGGTTGGTAACTTGTTCCAGATGACTCTGCTTCATCTGCCATATATACATGTTCATGTTTCTTTATTACTTGTTTCGTAATTTTCTTGAACTTCGGATATGGCAAGTCATCCTGGTTTTGTTCTTCCTGTTGTATGTGGAAATTGTGGAAACACGATTCGTCTTCTCCAATATACCTTTGGTTCCTGAGCCTCTTTAGCAGTGATCCGAACTTCTTTTGGAATCTATCATTCGACTCTTGATGTAAGTAGATTGATTCGTTAATTTCATGGTATTCTTCTTCACTAATTTCCAATTCTTCGATAGCAACACTGCTAATCTCTGCTTGATTTGTTGTCTTGATTTTGGTTACTTTTTTGTAAATTGTGATTTCATCGCCTTCTATTCGAATGCCTCCCTTCATAGATCTGATGAAGTTTGTACCAACAAGCATTTCAATTCCATCACTAACTGTCATGTCAAAGACGTAAATTAGTGGCATTCTGAATTTATTTCCTTCGATTGAGAAGTAACCATTCTTGATCCTTTCTGAGACTTGCTGTTGGGAATTGAGTCCACTAACTTTTATTGAGTAGCTGAGGGGTTCAATTGCTTCTTTGGGAACTATTCCTTTGTGAATGAAGCATAAGGATGCGCCAGTGTCAATGATCGCCTTTGCCTTGAAGGGTTCGATATTGGGAATATCAAACTCAACTGTGACGTTGTATAGTTGGTTTGTGACTTTCTTGACTTTTCCTGGTTCCTCCATTTCTTTCACTTTTCTACTGATCTATGTTTCCACTAGAACACACGCTTTGTGGGTTAATGGTGGGAATTCTTCTTCGAGATTCTCGTAATACTTTAGACGTTCCCTTATCTTGACAATTAATTCCCCCTTTTCCTTGAGTTCTTCTTCTAATTCCCTGATTCTGCTCTCGAGAGCCTGCTCTTTGCTCTGGAGCTCTTCCCCTATTGCGATGCTAGCCTTCAAATCTTGGACCAATGCTTGCTCCCTTGTTTCTCTTATCTTTACTTTTGCCCTATGCTCATAATACTCCTGTGCCTCCCTTGTGGTCGGCTTCTGTCTCTGTCTCTCTTCCTCTCTCTGCTTCTTTTCTCCCTTTTTCTTCCCTCTTCTCTTTTTCTCCCCTCCTCTCTTTTCTGGGTGCCTTGGATTCTGGTGGATGTGGTTCGCCCCCACCCGAGAGCGTATTTGTTGTTTTAGTGTTTTGCCTTGATCTGGAGGGGTCTCCCCCCTCCCTATCAAAAAAATACTCCTGTGCCTAATCCTTTATCATTTTCTTAATCTCCTCATCTTTGGTTATCAGCAATTCTTTGAGCATGGCTGATCCTCTGTATGTTTTTAAGGGATTTGAATTTCGTGAAGGATTAATATTGAAAGGATTTGAAATATTTGGTATGTTTAGTTTGTAGGATTTTGAACGGAACTGATTTCTAATTATATATAATTAGATTACATTTAAGTTAATTGATTATTACAAAACAATTGTTCTTAACATATTTTAAAACATTATTACATGCAAGTCCTACGAAATCAATGAAATATCAATCATTTCCGTGAGATTTCAAAATCCTATGTTGTGGGATTTCAAATCCAGTAAATCCTTCAAACCAAACATTAGATAGAAATGATGAGTTTTCTGCTAAAACTTTTCTTCCAAATGTAGAAGTAAAGAGAAGGAAATGAAAGAAATTAAAACTTTTTAAAAAAAATTATTAAAATTACAAAACTGTTGTAGGATAAGTGTCATCGTCTAAATGATATGACGATATATATATATATAAAGTATTGTTTTGATTGTTTCCTAATATAAAGTATTGATAATAATTAATAATTAATGAATAATATTCATCTTCCATAAATATTCAAATCATAATAAATGAACTCATCATTTCCATAAATATCTCAATTCATTAGGTTGCATTGGTTATACAAATACAGCAGGTTGTATTTGAAACAAACTATATATATATATATATATATATATATATATATATATATATATATATATATATATATATATATCAGAGTTAGATTAGAAGTAAAATATCCCGTAATTATCTTCTTGTAACTCATTCCTATAAAAAAAAAAAAACTTATGACCGATGAGAATTACATATTCCTTCTCTCTATCCCAATGTTTTGTTTAAAAAATATATTAGCAAAAACGACATCTTTTCCCTTCAAACAGTAACGTCATATGCAATGACACTACCGATGGGGCATAGCCACTTTGTTAACTTAAGAAAGCACATATTAGATTAAAATGGATGCCTCAGTTGCCAAAAAAAGCGGGATAACTTTGTCCAAATACAAGACAGACCCGTGGTTGAATGCCCCCCCTCCTAGCTACAGCCATCGAGTGAGGCAAAAAAAAAAAAACCATCAGAATAGTTCCATTAAGAGACAACATATGAATCGTTAAGAGGTAAATCTCGTTTGGTAAACAAAAAAAAGTCTGTCTCTTAATGGTTCTAGAACCATCTGAATGATTTTGTATCTTGTGCCCCACTTAACCATTCATCGCCCTAATTTCATTGTAAACAATTACCAAACAATTATATTTCATCTTGTACTATATCATGAGAACCTCTTAATCATTCTAACCACTTAATCATTCTGCACTAAATCATTCAGCAACTGCCAAACAGCCCTAACTTGATTCTCTATTGGGGATCAGGGTCAAAAACGTGGCTAGAAGGCCCGACGACATCCGTGGGTTTCCTTAGCATGATAACTTTCTGATGAAAACATAATACATAACCTCGGAAACGAGTCTTGTGTATCATCGAAACCGAAATAGAGCGAGATCATATTAATTACAGTTTCGGGTTGCAGAAATACCTAAAGCTTAGAATCAAGCAATTCTCGAGAATTGGATGAAGTGCGGCTAATCATACACAAACTGTGGATCTTGAATGGAGTCGGGTTCAGTATTCGAGCGAACCCACGGACGCAACTCCATTGCTCAGATTCATCGATTCTTGCCGGCTCGGAGTGTAGTTATCGTAGGTGCTGTCGGTGGGATTCGGTATCTGGACCGAGTTGAGAAGCTCGAGACCTTGTTTCCCCATTTGCTGCACCTCCTGTGGCGACAGAATCTTGATGCACCAAACGCTGCTCACGAACTCCCTGTTTTTAGGGGCGGAAAAACACGATTGGTTGCACAAGAAAATAAGTAAACAAGTCGAAAAGGTCTCGGAAGTGGTTAAGAACAAGAAAACAACATAGAGATGAATGGAACTAGATAAAGGTGTTAACGAATCGAGCTTTTAACGAACTACTCGAGATCGAGCCAGATAAAGCTAATGTATATGGTAAAGAGGAAAACTTACGGCCAAGGGTCGTCGCCGAGGAGAAGAACATCATTCTCCCGGTCAACGAATACAAGCTGCCAGCCTGATCTCAAAGGGTCTTCCAATTGGCCTTCAAGGCCGAACATTTGAGCAAGTTCACTTCGCAGCTCGTGGTAGCTGCTAAATTTTGCTATATCGAGCGACCTCCCATAACACCCCGACTTATAAACCTGTTAATCAATACCAAAAACCAACATTCATTCAGCAAAAATCACCGCTAAAACAATCACAAAAACAAATCCGCAGTTTTCGTGCAATCTTTAATGAAAATGACCTAAAATTGAAAAGATTCACCTTAACGAAGGTTCTGGTTGGTGGGTTCGTTTGGCTCGTGTTTTCGGGTGAATGCAGAAAACCCGACTCATCGATACAACTCGAAGGTGTCATCGTTGGATTCATCGAAAACTCGTTGCCTGCATTACTCATGTTGTAATTGGAAGATGTGAATGGCAGAGTCATGGAATCGGAATCATTCCCGACACCCCGGAGGTTCGAGATCCCACTTTGCATTAAGAGATTCGAGTTATCGATGTTAACTCCGAACAAAAGATGGCTCTGAGAATCGTTGCTCGATTCTTGATCGATGGAGCACTCTCTTCCTGGAAACGGTGGCAGAGAAACGGCGGTTTGGGAGAGATTGGTGTTTCGAGGGAGGTTTGTGTGTGATGGTGGGCCCAACTGTTCAACTTGGTGAAGAAGAGATTGTGATGCTCCGGATACGAGAAGCGGATCGACGGCCACACGTTTTGCCGGCCAACCGGTGGAAGTCAACAAGGAGGTGGACCGTGGCATGTTAAGAAGGTGCGAAGTTTCGTCATGTGAAAACGAACCTAAAAGACTCTGAAAGGACGATACGTTAGAACCGGACACGGGGTTTCCGTTCGAACCCGAAAAGCTCGGATGTTGCATCGAAGAGATTGTTTGGGAGCTGGAACCGAACTGTGGCATGGACGGGAGTAGATGTTGTTGTTCATTATTGAACGGAATTTGGTGTTGCAATTGTTGAGGAAGAAGATGAGGCTGCGGATGTGAAACCGGCAGGTTTTCAAACGTTGGTTGAGGCTGAGATTGGTGCATCATCTGAGGCGGCACCAGGGTAGCAGAACCAGTCGGGACAGTTCGGTGTTGTTGAAATTGTAGAAGTGACGGATTCGACGGTTTCGCCGAATCCATAGTCCTCATTTCTTGAAGGGCAGCAGCAGCCATAGCTTGGTAGATATCGGTTTGCATTCCGAGCATGCTTGCATCGAGCCTTGGCTGCAGCCACGGTGAAACACCGACTCCCTGAAAGTTGAGTGATTGGATTCCACGGTCACCGGGATCGCCACGGAGCCACATTATCGGAGAGTTCATTCCCAGATCATCTTCTTTTATTCCTAATTTCAACAAACGAATCACATTTCAATAAAACCAAACGGTCCCGCTATATATCCTGCTCGAGAGCAGGGATTAGGGTCTAGTATGTGAGATGTATGCAGACCTAACCTCTGCCCCAAAGGACAGTTTTTATTACAACAAATCGTTGAGTGTGAAAAATGCAAGTAGCGTATGTTTTTTTCGTTTAGAAAATTACCGTTAAAAGAGGGGAGCCCGGGTGGCCATGGTCGCTTGAGTCGGAGGGGGAACTGAGAAGGGTACATCGGGAATGTCGTTAGGGGTTCGATCTCCCACAATGAAACTCTTGGCTGTCTTTCTCCGGCCGTAGACTCGTCCCATCCAACCTTCACGGACCGCCAGTGTGAGTTTGGCCATCGAGCGGGATCGAGGTCACTGATGCCCGTTATCGTGCCCATATAGCTATAAATTATACAATTCGAGTAAGATACGGACTCTTTTCAAATAAGAATTAAGATAAACGAAGTGATAAGAACGTTTCTTTTTTGTTTTCGAGAAGTTGCATAGTGAAATAGCCAAAAATTAATGATGTTCTTGCACTTTAGACCATTAACTACACAGAGGAAAGGTTCTCACTCATTTGAGAACCGTAAATATTTTGAGAACTAAGAACCAATGAATATAAGGAATATTCATTATGAATAATCATAGAACCAATGAATATCATGAATATTCAATTATTCATGTACTTCATTATGAATATTCGTTGGTTCTTTGGTCCTGATATTTACAGCTCTCAAATCAACCCACCCCTACCTACACAACTTTAAAGTGATGAATCTTCAAAACAAAATTGAAGCATACCGACGGACGCTTGATTCTTCGGTTTCAAACAACATCCGAAACCGCATGCCAACAGAAACTCGTGTATGATAAACCGCTTTAACAAACCTCGCCAGAGGTATCACAAATTCCGATGGACTTGCCCTGCAAAGAACCAAGATTTATATAAGGTTTTATAGAATACGAGGACCATGTTCAAATGAGAACCGTAAATATTTTAAGAACCTCGGAACCAACCATTCATAATGAATACCATTAATAATATTTAAGGTTATTCATCATGAATAATGAACGTGCATGATATTCATGATGAATAATATTCAGTTATTCATGAATATTTTAGGGTTATTCATCATGAATAATTCATGAAATAAATGGTTCACGAGTTTTCAAAATATTTACGGTCCTCTTTTAAACCAGCCCCTCGAATATGATTCTCCAAATTAACCAAACAACATACCTCGGATTATAGAAAATGGTGAAACGGCTATTAGTTGCTGCCGCATGTGCAGCGGCAGCAAGAAGCCCCAAGTGCATGCTGTCACTAGATAAAACCGAAGACGGCATAACGGTTTGGGGTCGATTAGCACGCCGAATTCCTAGTAGCAATTGGTTTTTCTCATTCCTGGGCAAATAAAACTCAAGTAAGAGAACGTGCGGTTGTCTTTCAATTAAGTTCTGTATGCATTAAGTTGTCCATATAGATCAAGTTAGATTGTTGTTTAATAAACTGTCTGAATGACATAAATGACTATTTTACCCCTACGTATAGATTAAAATGATTGTTTAATAACGACATAAATTCAATGATATTATCACACACAATCTTCGGAAACGGTTTTGCCTACGGGAGTCTGTTCCCCGTAAAATGCTATGATTGCAATCTTACAAGGCGGAAAACGCATAAAACAATAGTAAGATGGATACGAAGTGCTTACCATATGAATAAGACCGAATCACCGGCAACAAGTCTTTTTGCGCTCACAAAAACGCTCCAACCGGTTGTGAGAAGATGCCTTTTCGGTTGTCCTGAAACAGCGTAAAAAATAGATCATCGCTATATCATTTTTAAAACTAAAATAAGTTACGTCGTTATTTTTTAAATCTAAAATATTTCAATTACTATAAAATTGTGATTAAATAAATTATACCCAAAAACGAGAACTTTATTTAATAAAGGTCGTACCACGGAATATATGCCTAAACTTCCATTCATTGTCGTGTAAATCCCTCGCGATAAGTTCTTGAGCCGGAGGTTGCTGCGAGAAGTCCTGCAAATCGAAACAACAAATAGAGTCACGTTGGTCGAGATTTAAGCTCAACGAACCACTCATGTTCAACGGAAATCGACGTACCAATGGAGGAAACACTTTCTCGGCTGCACGACGAGGAACCGAAAATCCACCGTGAGTGCTCGTGTCACTTGCCGTCAACGTTTTACAAAAATAATTCGTGGGTTGTTTGCTCGGGGCACCGAGATCCGCCGGAAGGAAGGCCTCTTTTTGCTCTTCCTATATAGATCACAAAAGAAAATGGAAGTGGCGCCATGCGGAAAAAATAAAAAATAAACCTCCGAGCAATTATAAAGAAAGTTCAACATACGGAATTCAGGGGTTGCAATGTCATCTGAGCGTAAACCTCATCGGTCTCCCCATCTGCCTGATGAAAAATCGAGTCATGGAATGAAGATGCATCAAAAAGAGTCCGAGAAAAAGGAACTCAGAAAGGAACATGAACGAAATAAAAGATTCGTATGTCGGCTTACATGCATAGTGACATTGTGAAGTTGACAAACGAGTTGCGGAGGTAAGCTCGGGTAGTTCGGAGTATGAGCATCGACTTCTTTGTTTGTTGATGCAGCAACCTAAATCGAACAATTAAATCGAGTAACGTGCCATGAACAACTTGCAAAATGAAATCGTAAAGGGTGTCCGTTTTTCCAATTGTTGTTTTGATTATAAACGTTGAGTCCCACATCGGCCAGGCTTGGACCATTATCCTCAGTATGCCATGTGAGAATACGTGGAACCCCATCAGATTACTCTACAAAAAAGAGCCATTATAGAGAGAACGAGATTCCGACGTGTATTGAGCAAAAATGGTCCAAGTCTAGCTGACGTGGAACTCCAACACACCCCCTCCACCGGAGGCTAGACGGGCACAAATTGTCCGAGTGTCAAGTCCCTAGGGTGGTAAACACCGGCTCTAATACCATGTAGGATATTTGTAATCCATTGGATTACTGTTCTTAAAGGGCTCTTTTGGAGAATAATCTGATGGGTACCACATATCTCGCAATAAAAATCCACTCAAACTAACCTGCTCACTATGACCCTGTGGGAAGTATACGACACGACTTCCAACGGTGGGGAGGGAAACAAGAGGACCGGCACAAGCATGCCAAAGTTCGGAATTCAAACATCTTTTCTCCCCTGAAAACAAAATCGCATCTCAAGCAATTAGCTTGTAACATATCTCAACTAAGAATCGTTCATTTTTCTAAACGATTTTCAATCAACAGCTAGTTTATCAGCCAACAGTATGCTTATCAGCTAGCTTGCCAAACATCGACGGAAAATCATTCATTTTTCAAAATGATGTTCAACATTTATTGCCGTGGTAGAATGCTCATAAAGTTTTGCAATAACCGATATTGATTCAGAAAACAATAGTCCCGATCGCACATAGAAACTGGGGGCCATGAGATCATGCCGACAATTAAGACATAAAAACCCGAAACACGAAGCTGAAGTTGATCTTAATTCGGTAGATGCAGTAGAACGTATGATCAAAAAACCAACTAGACTAACGCATAAACCAACACTAATCACCAAAGTGATTCACAAACCCGATGAGCCATGGTGCACCAGGATCACCAAAAGTAATTCACAAAGCCAAGGAGCCATGGTGCACCATGGTCACCAAAAGTAATTCACAAAGCCAAGGAGCCATGGTGCACCAAGGTCACCAAAAGTAACTCACAAGGCCAATGACCCATGATGCACCAGGATCTAATTCACAAATCCAATGAACCATGGTGCACCAGAGTTACCAAAAGCAATTCATAAGGCCAATGACCCATGGTGCACCAGGGTCTAATTCACAAATCCAATGAACCATGGAGCACCAGAGTTACCAAAAGCAATTCACAAGGTCAATGAACCATGGTGCACCAGGGTTACCAAAAGCAATTCACAAGACCAATGAACCATGGTTGCACAATTTCAGACAAGAAAAAGGCAATTGCATATATGATCGAACCGAAAAGAAACAGACCTTCAGGCAATTGCTGACCAAAACCAACAGCAGACAGCTTCATTTCCACAGCTTCAAAACAACAGTTTTCTTAACTACTATAAACAGTCAAAAATCTCAACAGTTAACCACAAAATTCCTTAAAAAAGGGACCACTTTTCCCTTCCAGATTACTGATTCTTGCTTCTCTTTAACAATCCATACAAAAAAACCCACAGTTCCACCAGATTTTCAACCGAAACCGGTCGTACTACAAAACAAAAAGGATTTCCACTTCATTCGCCCTTGATCTTCCACACCCAAACCCCCAAATAACACCACAACTCAGCCACACACACCTTCATCCAAGAACAATCTTGTTTTCTTGCTATTTTTTGTAACAACCCCACCACCAAATTAGACCAAGAATGACAAAGAAAAGCTTGTTTAGCTACAGAAACCACTCCAGATCTCAACCCCAGAAAAACCCCAAATCTTGTGACCTTTTTGTAATCTTGAAACTTGCATAAACAGAAACCCTAAAGAAATCCCAGATCTCTTTCACCAAGATTCACAGATTCAAGTCAAGAAACAAGCATCTTGAGAGCTAAAAACACTTGGAGCAACAATGGGTTTTCTTCAATTGAAAACCAAGATTAGAACATAGAAGCTGATACCCACCATATCTGCATACTATTTCTGTGTGTGTGTTTTTGTGGGTGAAGATTAAATGAGATCAAAGCTGGAACTTTTAGGGTTCTTCAAACAGTTTTCCAGTAATGGAAATGGCTCACCTCCTCCTCCTTTTTGCTGCTATTTTGCTACTACTATACTGTTACTATTTCAAGTACTCTCTCACCCCTTTATTAAAATCTTTTTTTTATTCTTTTTCTTTTTTTTTTCTCTGCCACCAATCAATCATCAAAAACCACCATTGAACCTTTTTCTTTGCCCAAATCTTTTTGTAGGACAAAAAACAACAAGATTCAGTAAAAATGAAAAACCCATAAAGAAGTAAGAAATTGAATAAACTGATCATTATTTTAAAGAAAGAAATCAAGATTATTAATTTGGTGGGTAGTGTAGACTGTAGAGTGTAGAGAATGGAGTGACAATGAGAAGGTATACGTAGTGGCATTACGGAGTCGGATTTTATCGGACCCAGAATCTAAAGTTAGATTGGGGGTGTGGTCCTAATGCGGTGCCATCCATATCATTTATCACAAGTCGCCAAAAATCATCTCAAACTTTTTTTCTTTATTATTCAAATAAAAAAATATTATAATAATAATAATCATATTTTTTTATTATAAAATATTAAACACCATTTATGTATCGGAAATATTAGATTTTTTTTTACGAACTAGAAAGGTACGTGCGCAATGCAACGAGATATATCTCAATTTTATTGTTTCGTTTTTTATCCCTGTTGATGTTATAATAAGGATTTATGTGGTTTTGAGCAAATAATAATGTTTTTTAATAAAATATAAATTTGAAGATATCATAAAAATTAAAAAATATAAAAGTTCTATTTTTTGTGTAATTTTTTTAATCAATTTTTTATTTTATAATTTAATTTAGGTTTAATGACGAAGTAATTTATTTTTTATAAAGATAATAACTAAGTTTTCCTATCTGAATTATATTTTTAATTTTATATTTAAAATAATAACTTTATTCTATATTTGATTATGTTTATCTACAGTTAGTTATATGAATTCAAACATGAAGCTTAATAAGTTGTACTTATATACAATTTACTTGTAATCTTGAATTTTAAGTAATATGCATCAATAAGCAGTACTTCATGTATAAAAGATGGTTTTTAAGAGTTTTTGTCAAATGCTTTATAATATAAGTATAGATAAATTATTGCTTATAAAGCATTTGACAAAAACTCTTAAAAACTATTTTTATGCATTATGTACTGCTTATTGATACATATTACTTAAAATTCAAGAGTACAAGTAAATTGTGCATAAGTATAACTTATTAAATATTCATGTTTAAATTCTTGTAACTAACTGCAGATAAATATAATTAAATATAAGATAATCTTCTCATTTTGAATATAAAAAATCTAAAATATAATTAGGATAATAATTGAGTTTTAACAGAATACGTAATTATTATCTTTATAAAAAAATTATATTATTAGATCAAAAATAAATTACTTCGTTATTAAACCTAAATTAAATTATAAAAAAAATTTGAATTACAAAAATTACACAAAAAAAACTAGAATTTTTATATATTTTTAAAAAAAATTATGACGTCTTCAAATTTATATTTTTATTCAAAAATAAAAATTTATCAATTTCTTAAAACCACATAAAATGGTATTATAACGTCGATAAAGACAAAGAATAAAATGAAACATTAAAATTAAGATACATCTCGTTGTATTGCACGAGTACCCTTCTAGTATATATATTATTACTCTATCGTTGTATCATTGGATCAGTAAAAAGTACAATAAACCAATAAATGAAATGATTATACGTCATCTTAATTGTCTAGTATTTATTTTCCAGATTCATATGACAATTAGAAGATAAACTAATAATTATTTGTTTTTCATATTCAACTGACAATTACAAAATCGTAACAAACTCATGTGGTTTTTCATTTGAATCTGTAAAACAAGTAACTATTAATAAAAATGGTCGTCCTTTCTTTTTATTGGTTCGTTGTATTTTACTATTGATGTGTTGATACATGAAAAGATATGGTATTTATTTCCTTTTATAAGTGTAAGGATTTATTCATTCAAGAAAATGTTTAATGACTTAATCGTTCAAAATATGAAAGTTCAATGGGTTTTTGTTTTTGTAATTTTAATGATTTAAGAGTTCAATGCCTAAGATCAACTGCACCACGCCCTAAGGATTGGCTATCGTTGTTGTGAAGAGGAAATGGGGCATTTCTGCTCCTCGTTTTTATCATTATGAGGAGGAACGGGAACCTTATATGTTGTTGACATATACTGTTTTATTAACAATTATACAGATTCACCTTAACCTTTTGTACATTTTGTATATGTTACACAGCTGGGTGCATTCATTTTTTTAGACAATTAGATTGTAGGGCATATTTGATACCCTAGTACATCAGTTTATAGTATAAAATCTATGTGTTCTGTTTTACCATGTATCGATTTTGAGACTTTGGTCAATGATGTAGAACAAAAGAACAGTTTATACTTTATCAGCAAAGATTTACGCTCGTTGAAAGGATGGTTTATTTGGATCGACATGGGAGTCCAATTACATTGAGTCAAAAAGAGGATTACTCGCTTCTTTCCCTCATCCAAAACCGTGCATGAGACTTTCATTCCGACTTCCCCAAAACCTGTCGTAGCACAATTGAGACAGCGACGGGTTCTCTGCCCTCTCACATGATTACCAGGGAGAGGATCTGATTTGAATACAGAACATGAGATGTTAGTGCACATTTTAATTAAATGAGTTGTTGGTGCACACTTGAATTATGGAGTTGATGAATTTTTAATCAAGATCTTGATAGATGATTGCAGTCGATTACAAACGAGATCTTGGCAGCTAATCTTGGCAACTGGTTTATCCGTATAATAATCTTGATTTCACTGTTTTGCTTTCAGGCTCGAACTAGTTATCCAAGGTAAATAGTTGGTAGTATATTGTTTTATTATGAAATCATAAATACATAGAAATCATATTTTTCATTTAATTTTTTATTAACTTGGTGATTTATCAGATAATATAAAAATCGAAAAACCCTTTTAGAGCATATCTAACATATCCCCTTTGTGACCACGGAGGTTCAAATGCGGTGACTCCGGGCTATTTGCAAAGCAGGTGGTCGTCCTGGGATTAGTCGGCTCGCATAGCGGGTTGATATTCAGGTTTAAAAAAAAAGATTTTGGGAATTTGACTGATTTTTGAGCTAAACAAAATCTTGAAAATGGAAAAAGTAAGAAAGAGATGATAAATTTATCTAAATTTTTAGAAGTCTCTCAAAAAATAATTATTAAGGGGCCTTTTACCAAATGCTTATTCGGATAAGCGCTTACCAAGCCACATTACCTTACCGAATCAATATTGCAATGACCAAGAATCTTACCAAGTAAGAACGAGGCAAGAACTGAGCGTCTTACCCGGTAAGTGACAACAATGACTCTTACCATGGTTAGCTCTTATCGGGTTAATTGTTGCATACGATACCGTTTTGGTAGACAAATATCTTACCTGGTAAGTAACTAATAGTTTTGAATTTTGCTGGTAAGCTCTTATCCAGATAAGTATTGGTAAACGGCCCCTAAGATCATCTTCAATCCAACCAATAAAAACACTATAAGAATAGAAAACTAAAAACACTAAAAATGATGGGTTCATTGAACACTAAAAAAATCAACTCCGGCCTCATACTAAAACATCTTTAATATTATAATAATAATATAATATGTTTGTATATGTATGTGTGTTTTATTATTCCTGTTAGTCCCGAAGGAGATGACAATAAACAGAAAGTAATTGTAGAAGGGGGGGTTGAATACAATTACACAGACTTTTTTCAACTTTTTAATTCTTATTGATTTATATCAAGAATTAATACACACAGAAATACAAAAGATTGTTGCAGAAGATAGGAAAGAAAAACCTAACCTAAACAATCTTACAAGGAGAAGAACTTTCATGAACAACACAAAGAGTTCTTGAAAGGAAATGAAGAACACTAAGATTTTATTCGCACACAGGAGCAAGGGAGAAGAAGAGAATAGCCGATTGCCTTAAGAATTCACTAAGTAATCTTTCAAAAGCCAGTTCTATGCATGGGAGATGCACACTACCTTTTTATACTACCTTCAGCATTTAATGCATGGGGACACTTGTCACCTAAGGATAAGAAGGCAGGGGTTGACTTGACCATTGTTGATATCTCATTTTCATCGTACACAACGTGTATACAATACTGTTCATGCAGAGACAAACTTTTGCAGAGATATGGTCAGTCTGTAGGAAGATCTCCTTTGGATGGATATGTAGCTTCAAGCAGCTACTCACAAATCTTCGGTCCATGAAGATTTTCAATCTTGAGTCCATGAAGATTTTCAATCTTCGGTCCAGATCTTCAATCTTGAGTCCATGAAGATTTTCAATCTTCTGTCTATGATCTTCAATCTTGAGTCCATGAAGATTTTCAATCTTCGGTCCATGATCTTCAATCTTGAGTCCATGAAGATTTTCAATCTTCTGTCCATGATCTTCAATCTTGAGTCCATGAAGATTTTCAATCTTCGGTTCATGATCTTCAATCTTGAGTCCATGAAGATTTTCAATTTTCGGTCTATGAAGATCTTCCTTCATTCGGCTTGTAGCATCAAAATATTTTCAATATTCATTTCAGCTACTTTGGAGTCTTGGTGTATATATTAGACAGTTGATCCACAACACCGCATCGGTGACCTTCTGTCTTTACATCGGCTAGTCTTCGATTTTGCCAATGGCTTAAGTATGTACCAAGACACCAATATACAAAGAACCAATAACTACTAAATGTTGTTAATGTAAAGGAACAGATCAGTTGGTCATCACCAAATCAATAGGTGACTCAACAATTCCAACCAATAAAAGTCATTGAAATTTAATGTTTACAAAAATAATATTTTATTAAATATATTGAATATTTTAACAATATAGTTAATATTGTAATTTTTAAAATAAATAAGTTGTTGCAGTTAGATATAATTTTTTTAGAGATTTTGATTTTTAATTAAAAGTTTTAGAAAAGTTTTGAA